TTCTGTTTTTTATTATCTTCATATCTCAACAATAAAAACAATGTTTTTTTCTAACAACAGCAGCAGCAACAATAATATTAAAAATAGGTGAAATAAACTGGAAAAGTTAATGTTTTCAAATATAACAAATTACAAGGTAATCAATCAACTTTGCATACATGTAATAATTTGTTTTAAAGTTTAAAACAATGGTTTAGGGGTTGTTTATGTTAAAGAGTAAAGAGAACTTGATCATTAGAGTAATCATACATTGTTAGGAACGTAACAAACAAAGCAGAGTTTGCACAGCATATTATCAGAATTATTAATGCTTTTGTAATGCTTTTGTTAGTCTGACTTCACAAAAACCGGAATGGTACAATTTCAGTATGTCTGAGCATTTCAAAATGTACATTTTGAAAAAAAAAATCATTTTTGTTCATGTTCAGATATTTTACTGTAATTATTGAAAACTGTGTATGTAAAAGTGAAGATAAAATCGTTTGTTTTTCCAATGTCTATAATCTGTCATCTAGAAATAATTACTTAGTAATTAAATGGTTACAGCTTCAGCCACTGCAAAGCAATACCATTTTAAATAGCTAAAGATCTCCATTTCACACACAAAAACTTCACACTTTACCTTTACTCACATAACACAAATTAAATGACAGTATAATGAAATGTACACAACATCGCTGAATTGCAACACTTATACAAAAAATGTGCTCATGGAAAATAAAAACAGAAATGTTCTATGCATTGACAATACTGTTGGTTGATCCTGAAACTAATAAAAAGGTGAACTAACACTACAGTTAATAGGTCAAGCGGACACTGTTATTGACCAATGACAAGAATTTCCCAATAGTCAAATAATCAGCCCGACTAATACATCAGTCAACGGTTTGGTTTTGAACACTCCCAAATCATTTGTTTTTAACAGGAGAATGGAGAATGTCCCAGACTCTCCCTACAGAGTCCAGGACATTCAGATCTTAAAGGGTTAGTTCACCCAAAAATAAAAATTAGCCCACAAATTACTCACCCTCAAGTCATCCTAGGTGTATATGACTACAAACGTTGGTTTTCACGAGACTCACCGGCGCATGCGCAACGCTTAACTCATACCTCATTAGCCCGGAGCTGCTTCCGTGTACAACTGTTGCCGCAAGCTATATTAAAGTGATTATTACGTTTTGAATATGGATATCTTTCTTACAAAAACGCATCGATTCGCTACAGGTGGCCTTTGTTCACCCCCTACATTTAATATAACTGCGACTGGATTCGTCTGAAAGAAGAAAGTCATACACCAAGGATGACTTGAGGGTGAGTAATTTGTGGGCTAATTTTCTTTTTTTGGTGAACTAACCCTTTAAGGTGACATCCATCTCTTCATGCTCTAATGCCTGGACACAGTCAGACTACAGTGGACTTTCTGCAGGAAACACAATGAATTCAGACCAGACTTCAGAGCATAACATGAATCCAAAACACATGCAAACCAGAGACCAAAGCACACTTGAGTTTTATTTACCTGGAAGAGAAAGTAATCATTGTTCCTGTGTTCACACAGAGAAGCATTTTAAATTATATTTAGCACCAAATGCATTTCCAACCCACTATATAATGGCAAAAAACACTGAAGACAGTTAAAAAGTGCACTTTAAGATTTATTACGTGATTAGCATGAACGTACACATGCCTTAAAGCCATGATTAATCAAAGTTGCAAGAAATCTTTTTTCTGTATTGTAAAGTGAATCTAGAGTGTAACAGATTATCAGAAGTGAAAAAAAGAGTGAGGACTTGGTTCTATAAATCAGTTGTTGATTTGATTTTGAGATGTGGCCGTTGCACTCAAAAATGAAGATGAGCTTGCAGTCAGTAGTGGAGGGATGGGGTTTAAACTGAATAAATGATTGGAGTAGTCCAACATATGTCACCAAATAAGCCTGTCTTTCTCATAGAAATATCAAGTTATGGCTTTTTGATTAAATATCAAAAAACAGAGCCTACAACACCCTCAATTACAAACAAATCACAGAGAGAGCGAGAGAACAAGAGCTTCTCTGCATCCTCTTTCTTCAGTCAGCCTGGATGTGCATCACTGTCTCTTGGCAGCTTTAAAAACGTAAAATCTAATTTGTTGACCATGTGGAGCTCATTGTGTTTTAAATCTAAACTTCATTCATCTATAATGCTGTGATGTAGTGTGAAGTATGCTGAGAGGAGACATGGAGACTTTAATAGATGATTAAAATGACAGTCCTTTTCCTAACAGAGCATGAGTGCTGAGCTGACTACACGTATTTATAAGCCATAATAGCAGCAAATGACCCCAGATCAGTAGGATGATTCCACAATGTTCTGGAAGAAATTCCTCTATTCCAGTATTTGGTTATGTGCTGCATTGTGTGAGAGAACGTGCAGTGTGAGCTAAACCCCCAGGATATTGGTACAGGAGCTAGAGCCAGGTAAGAGAACATCTGCTGAAGGGAGATATAAAACACACACACACACAACCACAATCCCCACCTTAATCACCTCTTAGTTGATGGAGGCTATTTGTGTGGCCAGAGATAGCTGGCTACAGCCTGAGAGAGGGAATGAGCACATCAGTATAAAGCATGTGTGCGTTTCAATAGATCTCATCAAATGTGATTTTCTTTGTGCTGACATACAGCAACATCCAAAAACCCTACAATAAAACATCTGGACGGTGGACCTACACGGATATTTCCTGCAGGTAAGCAACAGGACAATATAGATCTCTCATGCTTCAAAAACAGCTTGGGTCAGACCATCTCTTACCTAATCACCATTATAAAAATCAACACCATATATGAATATGAAATGACAACTATCCATGCTCCTCTGGGAATCACTGCAACTGAAAATTTAAAGAGGTATAAATAAATAAATAAATAAATAAGAGGTATAATAAATAAGTAATCTGATCCATTAATCAAATTTCCCTTCTGGAATTAATAAAGTTCTGATTTGGTTTTAATTAGTATTTCTTTAAAAACAACAACAACAAAAGTGATTTGTTGAATTCATACTCCTGCCCACAACCTAGCATATCACTCATGAGGTAATTTAATGGACTCTGTGCACAATCGCTTCCACATTTAGTCTCAGTGCAGCACAATGTATGGAAATTGTGAGAAAATTAAGCACAAAATTCATCTTGAGAAAGTGTCACAACAGGACAAAGCAACCTTGATGATTCACCTAATCACCTTTAAGCTTAAGGAATTTGAAGATTCTGGAACTCATTACTAAACTGTATGTTTTAATCAGGGGTGTTTCTAGCCTTTTATCAGTACAGGGGCCTCCATCAAAAAAAAGTGTCCCAATATTTTGAAATTTAGCACTGAGCATAGCACTGAGATTCCAGTGAAAATACGTAAGTAGACGACATGCAAAGAGTCAATTGAGTTTACCAAGAACAAAGTCTGAGACTCTTGAGTCTTCACATCACAAGCCCCTGAGCCCCTGAACAGATGCATATCGGTCCAGTAAGCAACATGTGGGCAGGTCTACCTCTCTTATCCACCCTGACCACACCTTCTGCCAATCTGACTGTTATTCCAAGCAAAAGTAACATTTTGTACAGTTGCTGATTACTGCCTTTAAAGTAACTATTAAATATTTCTGCGAGCAGAATGAATAGAGGTGGTGTAAAATATCAGGTTAGTTGCCAACTCTAATTATGGCTTTGAATTTTATCTCTGCACTGGTGTACCTGCCACAGACACAGACCAAGGGCAAACAATAGGTCTATTTGTAAGAAATGAGTAATAAATGCAAAACAGGAACGGAGAACTAAATCTTTTTTTTCTAATTTTATGGAAAGCAAAAAGACAAGATGAACCTTGAATGGGAATAAATAAGAGTGCTTCACACAAATAAAAAAAAGCAGACATTTAAAACAAAGTATGAACTTCTTTCAGTGTGCTGTCAACTCTCTATCATGATACAAAGGCTTTCAGTTTCCATAGACACAAAAAAAATGAAAAAGCCTTATCAGACATGCACAGCTTGAAAAAACAATTTAAAATACCGCTAAGCATGTCGTATTTTCCATTCGTATTATGAGCTCACAGACCCTATTAACTGAAATTCAGCAACATCAGAACATCACAGTCATGCAACACCTGTCATTAACACACTGCATTAAACTTAAAGGTTTAGTTTACACAAAAATGAATGTTGCTCCAAAACTGTATGACTCACTTTTTTGTGAAACACAAAAGATCCAGCATGACAACTATTTCAAATTGTGACTGAGGCTGTCATTCTTCCTTTTCAGTTTTTACATTTTGGATGAACTAACAGTTTAACTAACAGCAATCAAATTTTTACAATATTGTATTATTATTATTTTTTGAAGAAAAGCTTTTTCATCCTTATATGAACAGAAGGTTGTCCATTGGTATTGAAGCATAAGGATGGTGAACTTAAATGTTCCGTCGGTATCTAAGTGACGACATCTGCTCGAAGTTTGGTGATTATCTGCAATAATCAGGCGTTCTTTCGGTTCTGAAATAAGAGTGGCGGTGCTCGTGCGCTTGCTCTCACTTGATTGACAGCACGTCAACAGCGCTCGAGCCCTGCACGTGAAGCGATGGAGCTTTCTAGCAAATCCACATCACACATTAACCATCAAAATATACACATGATGCGGTCTACTAACAGCGTATTTTAAAACAGCCTGGAGTCTTTTCAACAGACACTCTTAACGTGAGTTTTTAGGGAGAAAGAGTTAAAGTTAGTAATTCCCCTGAGAGCGGTGGTCAGACAGCTCCCTCTACATCAACAATAACACGCTGGAAGCTTTCTACAACACCTCCACTGCAAAATCATCTCTCATGCAACTTCAGCTACGAGAACAGAAGTTAAATGCATTATAACGGCCTCTTAATGCAGCAAGTAAGTAGTACGCGTACTTCTAACGGTACAATCAGATCTCCCTGCATACTATCCGACTGGAAATTGAGCGCAGTGTTTTACCTTTAGTTCCGCACTCTCCGCCATCTTGTGACTGCTAGCGCAGGCGTGACGCTATCGGGTCACGTGGTGTGCACGCGCAGCTCGTTGCCGGCGTAACCGTTTACCGTTCACACGTTTTTCAAACAGTAGTGTCCGAAATGTGTCTCTCCGTTTTTGAGTGGGAAACCCGTATGTTCTGGAAAAGTTAATATGCTTACTACTTCAAAAACTGGGACGTCACTAGAGATTCATGGATAGGAAGGCTAAGCTTGTTTTAGGGCGTCTGAGCGAACTTCCCCAGGATTTTTAAAGCGCCCAAAAGTTCATTCATTTATTTTAGTATGACACTGGGTTTAAAATATATAAAAATAATGTTATTTTTGGTCAGAATTAACTAAAAGTATTCAGTCTAAAAGTCTAAGCTTTGTTAGACACTCATCTACAATATTATTTTTTTATCCAAATAAATAAAGTACACTCAGTGTTGGGGGTAACGCATTACAAGTAACGCGAGTTACGTAATCAGATTACTTTTTTCAAGTAACTAGTAAAGTAACGCATTACTTTTTAATTTACAATAGAATATCCGAGTTACTTTTTCAAATAAGTAACGCAAGTTACTTTTTTTCCAATTTATTGATTGACAGCTCTCCTGTCCCCATGCTGAGAGAAATCAGATGTTGTTACGGTAGTTCTAAAATAAATATGAATATGCATTAATTCATCTCACTTAAATTACGTTAAAAAAAATTACGTAAATGTACTTTCCCTTCAGGCTGAGGCTTGTTCATTTCACTTTTGGTGTGAAAAGGCTTTTATATTTGCCAAAAATATAACTTTTTTATTTTAAAAACAAACAAGCAAGCTCTGTCAAGATTTTAAAAGTAACGCAAAAGTAACGTAACGCATTACTTTCCATAAAAAGTAACTAATTAACGTAATTAGTTACTTTTTTATGGAGTAACGCAGTATTGCAATGCATTACTTTTAAAAGTAACTTTCCCCAACACTGAGTACACTCATATCCAAATCCGTCCAACACCAACAAAATGGCTGTAGTATCCAAAGTACCTGGATTTTATTTGAAATAAGCAGACATGCAGGTAAATCAGACCATTTTACTTTTCTTGCGGCTGAAAACATTGAGGAAAAGATCATTTTTAGTGTTACTGAATTTCCAGAATTGTTTTGACCCCCTAAAAAATCTCATACAGAGATGTATGGCATAAATAAATCCAGAGCATGCACAAGTTGGTTTGCACAGGTAAAATAATATATAATAATAATAAATAAATAAGCGCAAAATGTCATAGTTTTAACTAAACAAAGTGTAACATAAAAAACTTATATAGTAATAAATAACTTTGTAATAAACCACACAAAATACAGTACTTAGGCCTATTCAAAATTCTAAATAACAACAAGTGCATGGTTAAATTATGTGCATAGTGAAAATATGCATCAGGTTCACAAGTCAGACAGACTTCGAACAAGTCAATAAGAAACAAATGTTGGGTTTAGTTTATTTTATTTTTTATTTTATTTTAAATAGAGTCTATTTGCAGAAATAAAACATATAAATACAAACGGTGTTCTTATACTAAAAATTGCCCTGAAATGCTTTAGGCCTACATTTATTTTGGCGTTGTGTTCGCTGGTTACAAAATATTTTCTGAATGATTTTTGTACTGTATTTTGCTATTTGTATTTGTATTTTTTTTGTATAATCAACTGAAACACACCGTCTGCAATTATAGAACATTTGTATCGCTGAATAAGCAATGTGCAATGTCTGTTTTTACCACTAGATGGAAGTGTTGTATTTCACAACAGCAGAGACTCATTTTTGAGTTAGTGCGTTTATAATGCCGTTTAAACAAAAAGAAATAAAAAGAAAAACCTGCTACTGAACACGTTTGCAGTGTTTGCAGAAATATAGGCTAGACCTATATTTCTTGAAAAGCTGTGATGTTGGGAAAGAGAACTACATTTTCATGAGAAATTTTTTTTAAACATTACTGTTTAGTATATATGTATTTGTCTGTATGGTAGCGTAACCCGGGTCTTATTATCACGCAAATGTTTTTCCAGGCATGAATTTCAGGTAAGGTCAAAACAGTCTCTGGATTTAGTAACAAAAGTGTGTTCGAAACATTGTGTGGACATATTTTGGATTTATGAGTCAATACTTGTGGCTTTAATTGAAATTTTATTGAAGAATGAGACAAGAGATAATATTATTTTTGGAAAAGAGAGAGAGAGAGAGACTCCAGAAGTCTTGTGACATTTAGTTTGAGCACTTTCATGTGGAATAACAACTTTTGTGGTATTCTCAATTGTTTATTTGGGAAATATGGGATAAGTGCTTGTTCAAACTTGGGTTTGTTGTACATTAATATGAAGTACAGCTGATTTTCAATCATTTTTGTGTTGATTAATTTTGAATAGATAGGTCCGAAATGTTGCTTATTTAAAGTGCTTAAAATTGACGATACACAATTAATTTGGGATAGCACAGTGAATTCATTTAGAGAAAAACAAATACATGTAAAAACACATAAATACATAAATAATAAGAATAATAATCAACAATTCCAGTTTATGAAATTTCACATTATACAGTTCATTGCACATTGCCACATATTATGTATTTGTATTGTTTTAAAAAATCAACCTATTTACACAAGTAACAGCATAATTATTAGAATGTTTATTATCATCCTCTGGCTTCTTTTACTGTTTTCATAGAGTAATCCTAGACACTTTCATCCACAGTGGAATGTTCAAATGCTAGTGAATAGCCTACTTGGGATGGATTGTGATTCAGCAGTCCTCAGGCCTCAGTGTTCGGTGTGCATAACTTGAACCTAAAGTTTGATTTAGTTCACAAGGGAAATCTAGCAGCTAAACCTACAGATTTTTTTTACTGAATCATGCTACTTTCTCCAAATATGTCACAATGACATGAAATACTGAATGATACACCACATTGTATGTCTAATGCTTGAAGATTAGAAAGTGCATGAAGATTAGATCAAACTCCCCTCTAATCATCACTACTTTACAGTTTGTCATATGCAAATGTCGATGTTTTAATACTTTTTAAGTACATTCATTTGTTTTAAAAAGTAGCACTTGCATATTTCTTTTGTATTCTTTTAGAATAATGTAACAAAAAAAAAGTTTATGGTTGATATTGTATGTTTCTAAATTACCTTTAAGCTTCTGCTGAATTGCATAACGAGCCTTTCTCTCCTGATCCAACTCGTTGCACAATGTGTCTAAATAAAAGAAAAAGAAAAATCAATAAATCAATAAATCATTTGGGGTGGATCACAAACATTATATATATATTTTTATTATTATGTCTATCTGAAAGTATGCAAGTGTTACTTTTTCTTAACTCTCCTTATTTCTTTTCACTAGTGCAAAATATGTATTACCTCGTACAATCTGCAGCTGCTGGACCATCTCCTCTCGATAAGACAGTTCCCTCTTCATTTGATCCTGAAAATTATCTGTTAGAGTCAACACGTATTATATTAACTTAAGTTATAAATAGAAGAAATTATAAAGCATGGTGTGAATATATCCATCTCTTAATTACCTTTCAAACTTTGAAATTCCCGTTCCATTTTTTTTCTTAGCTCCACTTGCTCCAAGAGCTGCTTTTGGAGCTCCTCTGTGGAAACCGACAGAAATCACATCATTTATCATATCACTGTGACTTTTAATCATCACACATATCCCATAGCCTTTGAGTAAGCTACAGTCGTTTAAAGAAAATGTATCCCCATTTTTTTCATGTATTTTCACTCTCTGGTTGGTTTTCTTGTCTAATAGCGCTATTTAGGTTACTAAGGCTAAACACACGGTCCCCGTGTTCTCAAGCATGACATTGCAAAATAATTAGGACAGTTGCCTGAGGGGTGTGTGGAAAACGAGCCTGGCAATGTGGATCGTCTGCAGTTCAAGGACAATTCTCAGTTATACACAATTGTGCAGCGATCACACGCATTTTTAAAAAATGCATAATGCGTGTAAAATGGAGAAACATTGCACACAAAGCGCTATTTGCCTTAAAAATAGACATTGCCTTGTCTGTTTTTAAACAATCATAAAAGCCAGTTAGCTGCCTCTATTGGTAATTTTTCACGTTATCTTGTGTAGCCTATAATCTGTTGTTTTAACACCCTTAACACCTTAGCTTATCTAACAATGGAACAACACAGCTTAAAATTGTCCATAAAATATCTAAATATTTACCTTTCGCCATATTCTCGATGTCTTTCTCGAAATTAAATCTGTTATCAGTACTTCTAAATGTAGCGTCGCCTGCCACAAAATAAGGAAGAAATATAGGCTATTACACCGGATTTTAAAGATTATTTGTTTTGTATAAATATATAATGTTTAAACACACACACAAACAGGACAATGTTGCTACTCACTTGGGTTCTCTTTGAAATCGCTAATTTGATTTGAACAGGATTTTTGTGATTCGCATTCGTCGTCAGTAGGGCTGTTTGAAATGTGTGAATCTAAAGGGGAATAATAGTCTTATTAGCAGGCCACTTATTCAGAGTGCATAATTAAATATAATTAATTCTAGAATCGACTAAATGAAAGTTGTAAAATTATATAATAGAGTATACACTGTATAATACTAATGAATTGTAAATTGGGGGACATTTTTCCCAGTCATCTCAATAGCAAAAATTGTCCAGGTTTACCCGAATGCACTTGTTTAAATGTTAGTTTGTTAAACTGTCTTACCGTTTGTTTCCGGTGCGCAGCGAGGAGGTTTAGAGGGCAGTGTGCTCTGAATAGATGCTCCCTCCTTTTCATGTGAGTACACCTGCAAAAATTAACCAATCATTTAAAATAAATAAATAAATACAACCCCAATTATGCATCATTTTCTTCTTTTCTTACGCAACCATGCGTCAGACAACAGACTGCGTTTATACTCTTCTAATTATCTACGAATATTTGGCAACATCAAGCCAAATTGCTCGTATTACAAGGTAAATTCGGTCAGATGGACTGACAAAGAGAATAATTTGCACAGTATCCACCGGGGAGCCCTT